CTTTCCACATGCACTCTACTTATATTTCCAGTATTTACTAGATAATTGTCCATTAGCAAGTTGCAAGGAAGCCTGTCCTCAGTTTTTACTAGATTGGACAGTGGATTATTAAAATCAACTTTTCACTATTACAAACTTGTTCACAAGGAGGGATTGATGTAGAATCCTGCAGTCAGTTGGGATACATATGACAAAAATATTTTTTAACATTAGCCATAATTAATTGAACTTCACTGCATTGTTTTATTACTAGGATCAAATTGGAATGCGACTGATTTTAAATCTGACTGTATGACTGGATTAAAGTTACTATAAAGTTGAATGAAAAATGGATTTCTAAAATGTTGCTAATTTATTTGTTTATTTTGTGAAAAGTGCCTTGAGGGGACATCTGATTGTAATAAGTGCAAAATAAAGATGCTGAACATAACTGAATTGTAACTTGGATATCACTAGATGTTGTGAAAAGAAAATATTCCCAAACACATCAAAACAAGTTTTAATAAGACAAAGCAAGCCAATATGTTTCTCTAATGGCCTCTTTCTCAAGAGTGTTCTATTATAAACTAGATTTATGCCAGAAAACCAACCGGCTAAAAGAGTTTTGCCAATTTCAATAAGAAAAGTGGTTACATATTCAACCGTAAGCATAACAGGACCTTGCTCATTGTAACAAAAGACATGTGGTTTCAATGCAGCTGTCTAAACCACATTTATCAAAATATCTGTTGGGGTATTATTTGTACATTTGAGGCCATTTGTGTAATTTCACTATTTATGGATTAGAGAAAATCATGTACTCTAGAAAAACAAAACTGTTGAAACAAGAAGCTGATGGGTAAACAATGAGTGGTTTTAAAATTTTTATTGCCTCCCCATCAGGTGACTGATTCAAGGACTATATATACTGGGGACTAGATTATATGATGCACCATAACGAGTAAAAAAGCAAATGCAAAACAAGTTTACAAGAGCAAGAAACTGAGGTAAAGTAACACTAGTGATCAGGAACAGAAATAAAATTAAACAATATGGAACAATATCTTTAAAATAATCAAACTAAATTCTAAATCCAACAGATTGAGACTACAGGAATGCCTTGAAGAGATAAATTCAGACAAGACAAGCTATTGCCTTTGGTTATACTGTTATGTCTGATTTGGGGTATTTATTTGATTTGTGAGTTTAGTGTTTTTAACACCCTTGGAAAAAATTGCTATGGGTGTAGTTGAACATTAAATGTGGGAAACCTGGTACATTTAGACAAAGTGACTAGATTTAAAATAGCACTCTAACACAGCTAAATCTGGCCAAACCTTTCCATATCTAAACCAGCTTTTATTCGGATTTACCCAGGCATTTTGCCAAATATCACTAATATGTTGGGTTCTGCGGGGGAGTGTTTTCTCTACATTTTCAGGGTGGCAGGCTGACGGGATCCAGCTGGTGCTCGTCATCTCCAATCAACAATGGCCTTAAATAGGAGAGGCTTCCCAGAAGAAGATGCCAGATGGTTCCGCTTCTACAGTGGTACACTCTAGCTCTCAGTGCTGTCTCAAGTGTCTAACTTGTTCCTGACGCCTCTCCCATCTTTCTTCCTCCTAGAACCAGCCCTGACCTCTCTCTGAGAATCAGATCACCTGGACTACTTGGCCCTCGCTGTTCGGCTTGGCCGAGCCCCTGGATTCCTCCACCACCACCACCCTGCTGCTGCCTGTCCACCCTCAGTTACCTGCTGGAACTCCTCCACCTGGAAACACCTCACTGTACCAACTGCTGTACTGCTGTACCCTCCTCTGCTCATCTGAACCCTCAAACCGTAAGCCATCACCAGGTTACACCATCATTCCCGTCATTATTCCTCTGTCTAACCACTCACCCATTTCTCAGTTCCTCCTCTGGCCCGGTTCCTCCCTGCTGCCGCAGATCTGCACCTCTCCGTCGTTTTCCCCATTACTCCTTCTCGTTCAATAAATCTGTAAACTGAGTTTGGTGTCCGTAGTTGTTGCTTGCCTTCGAGTCCTGGTACCTCTCATTATGACAAATTATCAGTATTGAACCAAAG